GAGCTTCCAGGTTGGTGAGCCCTTGGGGTGATGGGAGAGTGGTGACCTCAGAGAGGCCATGGCAGCTCCATGCCCCTTGCTTCATACTTGGCCCTGTGCACCTCTTCCATCTGCCTGTTCCTGAATTATATAAGTTAAACCAGTGACCTAGTAAGTGAAATGTGCTCTGAGTCCTGTGAGCTGCTCTTACAAATTAATAAATCCTAAGGGAGAAGGTCTTGGGAACCTATAGCCAGTTGTTTTGAGAAGCACAGGTGACAAGCTGGACTTGTGACTGACATCCGATACACGGTACGGGGGCATATTCAGAACTAAACACTTAACCCCTGGAATCTGACACTGTCCCCAGGTACACAGCGTCAGAATCGAGTTGAATTTAGTGCATTTAGCCCTTTTCATGGTGTTTTATGAAGAGTAGGAGAAATGTCTCCCTCACTCCCATTTAAAATGGTCTCAGAATACCAACATAAATGATTTAAATGTTTTCTTGTAGTGAGACTTCTAAATCCAGAGTGTGTGTCACCTTAGAGCACATCCGATGGCCCCTTACAGCATACATCCTGATAGGCACCTTTCCAGTGGTCAGCCGCCACGTGTGGCGACTGGCTAGCACATCGGACAGCTGCTCTAGAACATAAGTCTGGGAGTACAATTTTGCTGGTCATGATGTAAGCCGAGCCCCAGTGTATTAGATGATGCTATTTTACTCTGAAGTGCTTGTACGCATTTATATTTCAACAACCATTGTCCCACACTTTCACTAACACTCGGTGGTTTCAGTCACTTTAATATTGGCCACCTTGGAGCAAGTATAATAGTATCTTGTTATGGTTTTAATGTGCACTTTCCTGGTTGTGAATGTTGCGGAGCCGCTTTGTATTTGTTTACTGGCTCATCGTATGCTGTCCTTTACGAGGCAGGCACCTGCTCAAGTGATTTTCTCTGATTTCTTTTTCTTATGTGTTTATAGAAATTCTTCTTGTCTTCTGGAGACTGACACTTTGATGCTTATTGTGTTGGAAACATCTTCTCGTATTTGAAGGCTGATGATTGAGCCCTGCTTTGGTGTTTTATGAAGAGTCTCCAATTGTAACATAGGCCGTATTTTCAAGGTTTCTCTTTATAAATAGTGCTATTTATGTCTTGTTCAGGAAACCTTCACTACCTTAAGTTCATGGAGCTATCCTGTGATATCATCTTCTAATAGCTCTGTTGTTTTGTCTCACGTAAAGCAATAGGTCCTCCATCCATCCGCCCTTGATTTTAATGCATCTGTGTACTAGGGATGGAATTTCGGGTCCCTGGTGGCCCACACATATTATTGAAATGTCTGTCTTTTTGTCACTTCTTTGTATCACCTCCCCTGTGGTGTATGATGTTTCCTGTGTTGAGTTCTACAGCATTTCTGGGTGCCCCTATTTTGTACCTGTGGCCTATCCCTGTGTCAGTACAACACTGTCTTATTCTCTGTATCTTACAGAGCCTGTCCTCACAGTGTTCTTCATGATTGCTGTGGCTTTCCTTGGAAATTTCTACTTCAATGTAAATTTTATAATAGTTGAGTTCCACAAAAGTCATTTGGGAGATTGGGTGACATATTGCTTTATTCTGCAGATTAATTAGGATAGAATTAACGTTTATATAATACTATTTTCAAACCTATTAACATGCACAGGTTTCAATTTATTTTCATCTTTAATGTCCTTCAATACAGATTTATAATTCTGTTTATCGAGAGAGTGTACATTATACTTTTGTGATGTACATCTCTAAAGAATGAGATATGTTCCAGGTATATCAAAATTTTGTATGCTATTGTCAATGGCATCTTTTATAACGTCCAATTTTTGTTTATTGCTGTGATATAGAAAAGCATTTGATTTTAGTAATTTGATTTTGTCTCTTGAAATCTCGCTAACTCTCTTATTAAGCCTCCAAATGTATCTGTATAGTCCTTCGGTTTTTTTAATATATATAATCATTTATGAAGAAAGACCGCTTTGTTATTTTTTCAACATTTGTATCTTTTACTTATTGTTGTTGCCTTTCTAGACTAGGACCTGATGCTACTGAGTTAGGAATGCTGTTTGCTGAAGACACCCTTTCCCTTGTTAGGGAAATTCTCCTTTCTTCCTACTTGGCTGTGCGTTTTATTAGGAAGACTTTTGAAATCACCCAATGCTCACGTTTTTTCATCTTCTGAGATTTAATCAGTGAAGGGCCAATCATGACAATACAAGCCACACCATGGATTTCAGCAGTGGGAATGTAATACAAGGGGTTTGTTATGCAGATGCTGAAACACTAGTGGAACACAAAGGGAACTCTGCCAGGAGGCCTTGCATCACTCTAGTCTAAGTGCCCAGCTTGAGGTTTTTTGTTTTTTTGTTTTATTTTTTGTTTGTTTTCTTATGTATATATTTTATTGAGATATGATTGACAAGTCACATTATGTTACTGTCAGGTGTCTATTAGAATGATTTGATATTTGTATACATTGTGAAGTGTCACCACAATATGTCAAATTAATGTCCATCAGCACAATATATTGACCCAATTTTTTCTTGCGATCAGAATTATTATTATTATTTTTTTTTAGCTGAGCCATCCCGCCACCTGTTGGCAGCTCAGCGGCTGCTCAGCTCGGGCCGGGACTCGAACCACTGTTGCTCAGAGCTCAAACTCTTGAGCGAGCTCTTAACCAAGTGAGCCACTCGGCGTGCCCTACCATCAGAATTTTTAACAATTTTCTCTCTTAGCAATTTTCAAATATACCATAAGTATTATTAGGTATATTATTAAATTAATAGTATTGTTAACTAATATTGTTAATTATAATCATCAAACTATACATTACATCCCCATGAGTTAATTATTTTATAACTGTAACTTTGTGATTTTTGCCCACCTGACTATTGGTAATCATTAATATGTTCTCTGTATCTATGAGTTATTTTTCTTTTAACTTTCCACATGTAAGTGAGATCATACAGTATATGTCTTTCTCTGTCTGACTTATTTCACTTAGCATAATGCCCTCATATTCCCTCCATGTTGTTGCAAGTGGCAAATTGCCTCTTTTTTATGTCTGAATAATATTCCCTACCACGTGTACCACATTATCCTCATCCATTCATTTGTCCATGGCCTCTAGGTTGCCTCCATATCTTGGCTATTGTAAATAATCCTGCAATGAACATGGGGATGCATATAATTTTTCAAGTTAGAGTTCTCATTTCTTCTGAATAAATACCCAGAACTAGAATTGCTGGATCATAGGGGAGCTCTATTTTGAATTTTTGAGGAACTGCCATGCTGATTTACATAGTGGCTGCACCAACTTACATTTCTACCAACATACAAGAGAGTTGTGCTTTCTCTACATCCTTGCCAACACTTGTAGTTTCTTCTCTTTTTGATAACCTCAGTTTGAGATTTGCTAGGCCACGCAGTGATGTGAATTGTGGGGACACAATGGTGGGAGCCCTGTTTTCTTTAGTCTTTTGCTTGCATAAGACAATCTTCTTGGCAATAAGGGAAGAGTCAGGGGTGAGTAGGGGATAGGGCTGGTTCCCTCTTGCTCACCTGGACCCCGTGGCAGGGGCAGACCCAGGTTTTGTGGAGCCTGACGTTTATACAAATGTTGAGATCAGTCCTTCAGAAAGAAAATACAAAATGTGGCGCACGTATGAATTTTTCTGAAATGGTAAAACACATCCCATCAAGTCACAAAGCTAAAATGCTCTAAACTAAAATATAAGAAAATACAGGAAAATTAGAGACTATTTTGATCAGTAGTACACCATGCCTGTCTGACGCACCTGCATAACTCAGGCTCCCCACATTTATGGCTGATACTGTTGCATTGCCTCTTCTTATAAAAATAATTGCCAAATATTGATAAATATTAATATTATATTGGTAAATATTATTTATTGTCATAATTATTATGTTTATATAAGATAGAGACTAGAAAGAGGATTTATTATTTCCTCCAGCACGATTTATTGAAATTTCTTTTGCTCTTGCATGCTTTAAGAAACTTTCTTTCAATCACCAAACCCGTTACTGGGAATGTCTAAAATGTTTAAGATCATTGTTACATTTGGGAAAATGTTGATCAACTTTCCTTCATGAAAAAGAACAGCAGGATTACAGGTTATGTCCTCACATCACTCGAGTCCTTGCCAGGCTTTGAAAAAGGACGCCAGCATGTGAGGGACTCTGAAGAGGGAGCTTCCTGAGCTCTAAGGCAGCAAATGTGCTTCTGTGCTGAGGTCTAGCCTTTGGAGTCCCCGCGGAATGGGGCGAGTGTCTCCCCTTCCACATCCCCTGTGGCGCAGGCCTGTGCTCCATCGCTGTCCCACTGACCCTGGACTCAAGAAGACCAACACTCGTGCATCTCACGTCCCCAAAACTTCTCAGAGCAAAGGGGCTTTACTGCTCAGCTTTCCCCGAGTCCCACCGTCCAATGGATTTGAGCCTAAAGTCCCCTTTTCTTGACAATACTTGAATGGTCTTCAGAAATTTTAAACTATTATTTTTCCACAACATTTAGTGGTTTCAGCTAGAGGGTGGAACCCCTGAGTCATCAGGACCAGTCCTGTTTCTTCCAACCGCGCTGGCCCCCCTCAGTGAACTCCCTCTTGACTTAAACATGATGTGGAAGGTGATCACTTCCAGGTTCCCATCTGGACAAGCCTCTCCAACTCCCAGGACCTCGGTATATCCACCTGCGGGGTTGGGTCAGGCTGTGGGGAGAGGGTGGGACAGGGTGATTTCTCAGCCCCCAGCTCACCCAGAAGGCAATGGAGCCTAAGTTCCCCTTCCAGGCGTGGCCTCAGTCTCTCAGCCCGAGCTTCCTGCTGGGGCGTCCTCAGCCCCACCCACCACACTGTAGGCATTTCCTTCCCTACAGAGGGAACCAGACCCAGGCTCTGGCTGTCAGATGCGGACATGGTGCCCCTGCTACTGCTGCCCCTGCTGTGGGGAGGTGAGTGGCCAAGGGTTGGGGGTCCTGCACAGGTTGGGGAGGGGTTGGAGCTGCAGCTGAGGCTCTGTACCCCCAGGTTCCCTGCAGGAGGTTCCAGGATACGAGCTCAGATTGAAGGAAAACTTGACAGTACAGGAGGGTCTGTGTGTCCATGTGCCCTGCTCCTTCTCCTACCCCTGGAGTTCATGGTATTCCCCCGGTGAACTCTACATCTACTGGTACAGGAGTGGGGACGACAGACGCCAAGCTAATCCTGTGGCCACAAACAACCCACGTTCTCGAAGGAGGCCTGAGACCTCAGGCCGATTCCGCCTCCTTGAGGACCCCACACCCAACAGCTGTTCCCTGATCATCAGTGACACCAGGATGAGCGATACAGGAAGCTACTTCTTCCGAGTGGAGAGAGGAAATAATGTGCAATATAATTACAGAGATAAGAAGCTGAATTTGCAGGTGACAGGTATGGCAGGGGCCAGAACAGGACTTGGACAGGGGGCCCCCATCTTAGGACAGGAACAGGAGACAGGAACACTCCCTGTCCAGGCCTAGGGGTGGGTGGTGGGAAGGGACACAGGACCTGGGGTGAGCTCAGGCCCTGAGGCATGGGTCCCTCTCAGGGTCACACTCTGGGTCCCCACCCCCTGGGGCCCAGGCACCGCCTCTCTCCTCATCTGCCCTGACAGAGGAACCCAACATCCACATTCCGGAACCTCTGGAGTCCGGCCGCCGTACAAGCCTGACCTGCAGCCCGCCAGGGTCCTGCGAAGGGAGAAGACCTCTGACCTTCACCTGGGTGGGGGAAGCTGTTTACTCTCTGGGCCGCCAGGCCCTCCGCTCCTCAGTGCTAACCTTCACCCCAAGGCCCCAGAACCATGGCACCAACCTCACCTGTCAGGTGAAACAAGGAGATTCAGTAACTATGGAGAGAACCATCCAGCTCAATGTGTCCTGTGAGTCTGGAGGGATGGCTGGGTCCCTGTGGGTAGTAGGAGTGCTGTGTGTGTGTGTGTGTGTATGTGTGTGTGTGTGTGTGTGTGTGTGTGTGTGTGTGTGT